TTTATAGATAAGTTATAAACATCCAGGAAAGTAGCACATTAAAAAGAAAATACTGAAAACCTTAGGCTTCCTGGCCTTGGCATGTGTTGCTTTTGATCTGCCTGAGCAACTATTACTTTGTCAATATGAGGAGTGCACACTGACCAAGGGCAATGTATGTCCATGAATTTTTACTGACTGCAAATTTAGTTCTGCACAGGCTAAACCACACTGGCAGAATGTAAAACCTTCTATGCATTTTCTGTGCTGTTCTGTACCACACGTGAGGAATGCTAATTAGCATTTGAAAGGAAATGTGGGCTTTCAAAGAAGACCCACCAAAATGCAAAATGGGAATACATATTCCTCTACCCAAAAGCCAAGTAGAACTCATAAGTCATCTGGAAGCAAATAGCTTCCACTTCTTTCTCCTCCCTTCCCTACCATTTCTGACTTAATCCACAGTCATCCTCAAGGGATCAGGATCTTCCAGGTATTTTTTTTCCCTTTTTGTAATAGAATTAAGAACATAAAAACCAACAAACCTAAAGGCTAAATAAGCCTGACTAACAGTTGACATTTTCTTTTCCTCCACTCTGTGTCAATATTTCAGGTTCATCAGTGTGGTCACCAAAACTGCAGCCTGTCCCAGAAGAATACTCAATTCACACAGGTATTTTCAGTGGTGCTTAAGTCCTGGTGGCACGGTGACCTATTTTAGTTCCTGCCTGGAAACGGAGACTGAGCAACCGCAGGGCTCTGAGTGATGGTGAGGAACCAGGGGAGGATTCAGAAAGGGGGAAGGACTGCAGCACAGCTAGCCACACTGATCTGCCTCTGAGATGAAGCAGCTTTGAGACAGGCAAACAGACAGCTAGACAGGCAAGGTGTTGGGGATTGCAGAGACAAAGGAGACGGGGAGAGGAGCGAGAACAGAAAGAGGGAAAAATGGGACAGGGAGACTGAGATATTCATAACAAAGATCAGTGCTTGATCCTGAGGCACAGGCAGCTTGAAAACATCCAGTCGGATGCAATGGGAGAAAGAGTAAGCTTATTTATTTATACTGTATTTTCATCCTAATTGGCACATCCTGCCTCTATCTAGCTGTGCTGGACCACTTAAGGAAGCACTGAGCCCAAGGTAACATATCACAAGGCAAGTCTGTTTATTCCAAAATACTGACCGTTTTAAGCCCAACAAGCAAAGGAACAAGAAGGACACCCATCCCTCATAAAATGCTAATAATTAGAAGGGAGGAAAGCAAGCAGCATAAAGAGTTTGGGTTTTAAATCTCATTTAGAGCTTGTGTAGACTGTCTTTCCCCCCCTTCCACCCTCCCTGAGGCTCCTCTGCCTTCTGAATGCCTTTAGAATCCGTGCAAAACCTCGTCCTTGCGGTGCTGCCCCTCAGACACGCACAGACAGACAGACTTACCAATGAACCTGGCTGTAAGGCTGGAGACCTAAACAGCTCAGCTGTAATCCTTAATAAAAATATAAACTGTACAGGACCTCTTCAAAAAAGTAAATCTTCCTGCTTGCTGTGAACAAGGTCTTTTTACTGAGAGATTTACTTTTAATTTTGAATAGCTTCGCAGCATTATCCTGAGGCGGGGGGGGGTGGGGAGGAAAGAGTCTGGAGATTTTGGGGCTATTCAGTCAACTGCCTGCTAGGGTTTCTTACTGAAATTAGTTTATCCTAGCAGCATCGCATGAGAATTGCTGGTGTGCATCTCTTCCACAAGTCATTTCACATTTTTAAATAATGGACAGGGTGCTGATTTCATTTGAGCAAAACCAGAAAGCCACAAACTCACCACAGTGGGTAAAGACCCCTAATACCAGCATTTCCCAGCATTTGTGATAAGGGCGCTGACTGCAAGCTTCAGGAACTCAGTGTTCCATCCTTTACTTTTTTAATTAATTTTTAATCCTATACGGAAAAGAGTCGCAGGTCCCACTAAGAAAACTCAAAAGCATTATTATACTAAACATGTAGAATAGCAAGCTGAATTCACAATTCAAAATTCTTAAAATGTCACACCATTCAAGTATTTCACTAAGACAAATTTTTACTTGGTTCAAAGCCTGAAATTTAGCTTCTCTCTTAAAAAAAAAAAGCTATAAAAACGAGGAGCTTTTCAAAGGAAGCAGGAAAAATACTATTTCAAATGCTTTTTGATCCTACTTTAAAATGGCAAAAGCTTATTTTCATTTAAACATTTTTCTGCAGTATTGGAAACTGTTTTCAGTTTCCAAACAAAGGGGGAAACTAAACTGCCTCATTTAATTATCTACAGGAGCAAAATACTAAAAGCAAAAAAAAAGAAACTCCTGTGCCTTTCAACTGCATTTTTTATGTCAGTACAACACATTTCTTCCATTTTGTGCTGAACTGGAACTGTTTTCTCACTGCTTTCTGTCCATCTCCAAATGCATGCCTTCTATAGCAGCCGCCAACAATGCAAGCAAACATATCAATATTTACATTTCTGATTCTGACATCAAAAATTTTATCCTAAAATTTATGTATATCTTCTGTATATTTGGAAGGTCAATTTGAGACCGCTGATAAGAGGAAGGACTTCCTGGTCTCTTTCATATTTATCCCTACTGAATTTTCCACTGAATTCCCCCAATGACCTAAAAGCACTGTTCATATCTAAAGAACTGAAGAACCACATAAATGGGTTTTTTGTATCACATGTTTGAAAGCACAAGCATGGGTAGCAAAACTAATAAAGTAATTTACAGATTTTCAGTGTTGGTAGTTTCATTTTTATGAGCAAAGCAGGCAAAGAGTGTTATTAAAGGAGCATGGATCTAATCTGAATTAGAAATGGCTGCAAAGAAATCAAGGTAGCTGTATATTGGTGTTAAGAAACATGCAAGATTTTTTAAAAGGCTGTGGCAGTGCCTTATAACATGGCTTCTTTATAATGAAAAAAATGAGTGGCGCAAGAATTTTAATGCATGCCAGACACATTTACAGTGCTTAAACTGATCAGTACTTGTAAAACCCAAGGGTCCAACTTTACAAACCTTTACTCAAGTAAGCAGTTTCACTGAAATCAATGGGATTATTTGCATATGTAAGGACTATTTATCTTAGTTGAGAACTACTGTAGGTTTAGGCCACATAATTCTATTCAGATCTTCTAGCTCACAGTTGTATGAAGAACAGAACACTGGCACCTTGGAGTTAATTTTCAGTTGTACAGTAGTTTTCTCCAGCCCTCTGAAGCATTTGATAGACTGGGTATGTCTCATAATTGGAAATGTTGGCAAAAATACAAATTTCCTGATGTGAAGAACTGCTACTCATGGATAATAAACAAAATCAATTCTTATTTGCATATTCAATCAGATTTCAGTTTGCATATTAAAGCATAAGATGGTAGAATTTTCACACGGTAGATGGATCCCACTCCCTTATTCATGCATATATGCATCCACTAATCCTTACCCATGCCAAAAGCAGTCAGAAATACTCTTTGCTAGGCATTCATAGCACAAAAACACTGTCCCTGCTGCTGTTCTCAACCTTCTCTTTTCGTACAGCGTATGACAGCATTCTTCCGCAGCTTCCTCCCCAGACTCTGCAATAGCCCCTGTTCTCTATTAGTCTTCCTTTCACTAGGCAAAGCTATAGTTTGAATTTTTGAATCATAATTTAAAAGGGATGCTGTCAACTGTATGTGTAAAGAACAAAAACCACTGGATCAGGTTTTCAAAGGAGCTTCAATGTGGACTTGACAATTTTGCTTGTAACTGTCACTGCAAAACTGAATTTCTCTCTCTCATTGTTAATATTAGAGTGTTCTGGACTACAACTAAAAATTTAAGATTTAGACTATGCATACCTATTTTTCACATGTACCTACAAGGAAAGAGAATTTGAAGTATTTATATGGTCCAGGACTATCAAAACACCAAGTATCACTATTGTCCCACGCACATAAATCTAACAATGAAGGATGACCCTGCAAAGCTGCACCCTGAGCTGCTGAACGCCTGCAAAGTCTGCAAGTCTGTGGGACTTGAAGGCACTCAAGTGCTGTGAGCAAGTCGGTAACAGGTCTGACAGTCTTGTAGCCAGTCTGGGTATCTAATTTGCATATAGAAGAGTGTTATATTCAAATGTATATAATTTTAACTGAAACCTGCTTGAAACCCTAGCTAGCTGCAGACAAGAAATGCTTTGATATAATAAAAAAATCATAGGAATGATCATCAAAACTAAAGTTGTTGCTGCAGTAGCCTTTGCCAGGTCAAGTACAGGACTGAAAAAAAAGTAGAACTGCCCAGGATATCTGAAACAATCACGTGTAAACAGAAGTAGTATTTCACTCTCTCAAATGAGTAAAATGCAAAAAACAGCCGGCATGAAGATGAAAGCTCATATAGGATTTCTACATTAAAGCCAGCTCTGATCAATTGAAATGCTAGCAGCAGGTTACGGAGGTATTTATTTAATAATGGGACAGGGTCTAATGGACTTTGCAGGGAGAGGAGAGAGAGCAGGAGGGCACTAGCTCACTCCTCTCTTTGGAGCTTACGCAGCCCTTTTTGGAAGGAGGCAGAAGTACAGTCCTGTGGTCCCTGAGTGCCTATTTTGCCCTCTGTAAACACCAAGATCACATTTGTGTCTGTGTGCAGGGTCTCCCATACAAAGGCCAGAGCCGCTGGTGGCCCTGGAGCTGTTGGTGGCCTGGCTCTGTCCCCTGGCATCGCCCAGGGCTGCTGTGCTTTTCTGCTTCTGCAGAATGCCTCCCAATGGCCTCGCAGCGTGCTGCAGCACAGCTCTGCCCCCAGCCACAGAGTCAAACCCTCCACTGTTTTTCCATCTTTAAAGAATTTAAACTATCCATACAAATAAGCAGAAAACAAGGGTTTGACCCAGTTACAGATCTTAGGGCTCTCTTAATTCGTTTGCTGATGCTTAAATGTAATGGAAATCACAGCCTTCCTAAAAAACAGGCAAAGAGAGAGGAAGAGAAATTGTGTTTAGGCTCCTACCTGCTTGGTTAGTTGTCACAGTGACTGACACAGCTTGGTCCTGGCTGGGGTTTTGCTTGGACACTCCATTCACTGCCCAGACTTCAAAGGTGTAGTTAGTGTGTGCTAGGAGGTCAGTAATGGAGACTTTGGTGGTTTTCAAGCCGTTCTGCTGGGGGCTGAAGTGCACACCACTGCCACAGGACCGGCAGCGGCTCAAGTCACCGGCACCGCACCTCTTGCATACCACATTGTAGGAGATGTCTTCGCGACCACCTTTGTTCTGGGGGGGGCTCCACTCCAAGTTCACTGAGGTCTCATTGACATTGGAAATTAGGTTCTGGGGAGCAGATGGAGGACCTGGAAAGAAAAAGTCCACATTTTTTACTAACTGGAGAAACCTTACATCATATATTCAGACTTAGAGTCTCAGGTGACACTGAGTGTGTGTTTAACTCCCCGTTAAGTCAAGGACCAGGGAGACCACACAGATTTTTACTTCTCTGCATTCTTAATGAAGGTGAAAAATTAACTGGTAGATTAAGCTCTGAGCTCTTCATTTGATGAATTAACAGCATTTTCTACCTCTGAATGTGCCTGAAAGCCCAGGATTGCAATTAAACAAGAGTGGGGTTTTTTCACTTTCACTATTTATACTTGTTACGGAAAACTAACTTTATTTATTTTACATTCCATTTTCCATGATCTCCCAAGCAAAGCATCCAATGCACAAACTCCTGCTTCACTTGAGATTTTTAAGGTCCTCCACTACCTAGAGTCTATAGGCAGACTCTCACTGAAATTGTTGATCACCCGTTCTTTTTATTATTTTTTTTAAGAATATAAGTGCAATCTTTTCCAGACAATTTGATATCAGATCCCATTTAGGGAACACAGAAGCCCATCAAGCAGGGAACTGCACATGACACTTTGGGATGCAGAAAGGAGATATGAGCAGAAAGCCAGACACAGAACTAATGCTTTAAAGGCAGGAGAATAAAGGTTACCACAGAGGAGTGGTGCAGATGGAGAGGATTCGGGGGCGAAATACGGCGAGAAGCTGAAAGAAGAGTTGATACAAGAAAACTGGTCAGAAACAAGAGACGTTACAGAAAGCCTGGAAATAAGGCTGAACCAGAGACACAAGGTCAGTTCTTGCACCACACGGACAAGAGACTTTTAGACTTGTAAAGACACTACCAAACAGTTTCCACTGGGTTCCATCACAGGGACTATAGGATTTGGGGATGGAGCCAAGGGCAGGCTGGGGAGGACCTCCCTGGGCAAGAGCAGAGCAGAGCCTGCAGCTGGCAGCATGTCCCAGCACTCTCACCAACCTGCTGGGACTGTCATGGTTGGTTCTGCCCGACCAGGCAAACTACCTACAGCAGAGCTCTGCCTCACTCTGTAACCAGCACACAGGCAGAGATCTATTTTACACACTTAAATCCCCCCTAGGCCCAAAACCTATAAGCATGTTGAAAATGCAGAAGAACTAATCCTGTGGCTCTTAATCTAGTTTCAATACGGTTGAGGTGAGACACTTTTTGTACCCTTAAATTTGGCAAGGATGATTCAGAGCAACCCCATGAAACACATGGGTATTTTACACATCACAAAAAGCTTCACTGATCTTCAAAAGACAGCCTGTTGTGGGCACTACACAGAATACTCTGGGACAAATAATTTTGTAGAAAGTGACAAATTCAATTTTTATTCAAGATGCAGAAAAGGTTACAAAAGCTTCTTAAATTTTATCAAAATATATTTGATGGTTGGAATGAAAAAAGGTTCAACCAGATCTCCTGGTGGAATAG